AAATTTCATTTCCCCCTCCCCTCTTTTACTGTAAGCCCAAGGAAGGATTGGTCCAGCACCCTCTAGAGAGGGAGGGAAAGGGAGCTTTTCTACACACCTTATACCCTCCTAAGGGGTTAGCTCTCACCGATCTTCATTGTTGTTTTTTTAAAAAACTTTTCTTAAAAATTGACAAACATAAAAAAATATTAACAAACATTTTATTTTATTTTCTTCCTATTTTCCCCTAACCTTAACTGGTAAAAGAGAACATAGTAAAGAGAAAAGGAAAATCCTTATGACAAATATGCAAAATTGAGCAAATGAAATTTTCATATTGGCCATGTCCACAATTTTTTTTTTGCATATTTAAATATTCATTCTACATATTTAGTCCATGACCTCTTTTTCAGGAGTTTGGCAGCATTCTCATCATCAGTACTATATGGACTATAGGTTAAGAATCCTTGCTCTAGGTCAGACCTGCCCAACCTGCCTGAGGATGTTTTCCTCTACATTTTTCGTGGGCCACCCAAAATCCTTTGGCGTGCCCATGGGCCATAAGCAGGCTGTAGGTTGTGTAGGCCTGTTCTAGATAGTAGTGTGAGAAATAATACATTTGGACCCCTCCTCTATTCCAGTCAGTATTAATCAGTTTGATACACTATATAAATCATATAGGGATAGATAGGTTCTTATAGTGGGCCTCAAACTTAATGTTCACTACTTGTTTACCAGGTTATGAGGCTTACTTGTGCAGCCACGAGAATGCTGACAAAGATATCTCCATGCTGTTTTTACTCAGATTCCATGTCCAAGCCCAGCATGAGTGGAATGCCTTGATGCTTTGGAAAGTCTCCCAATTTATTTTTGTATTTCCAGACCATTCTCTCTTGTCATATGTGAGCAGATGACCATCTTATGACCACTTAGTCAGTGTAGATGCCCTATGCTTCAGCCAACCTGTGATATCCCCCCCTCTCTCCCTCCTGCCCTGTTGTCATTTTTGGCCTTCAAGAGCAAGGTTTATCAACCAAAAAGATTCTGTATTTCATCATGTCTTTTTTGCATATCTGGAAACCCTATAAAAACAAGGTCCTGGAAGAAGGGGCATCTCAGATTGTGAGGAAGATCTGAGGTCTCCTTCATTAAGAGGGGATCATGGACCCTTTAATAAAGTGCCATTGGCTCAGAGCTCTGCCTCAGTCTCTTTTATTGTAGATTGGACAGTTTTAATCCCCACAGTAGCAACATCATGAAAGGAATCTTCACTGGTATAAATATTCTGTTATCTTCAGGGTTTAGATCATGGATAGTCCAAAATACTGAGAAACTGATTATAGGTTTAAGTTTATACTACTGTACTAGATAAGTAGGCATATTCCTGAGGCAGAACCCTATGGACTTAGTTCTGGATATATCCACTCATGAGAGAGGTGGAAAAAAAGAGTCTGGTTTTACTAGTAGCAATCATGAGCTATCCTGATTTTCCTCATACCTCTCCTGATCCTAGGAAGATAGAATTTAGTCCTGAGGAGTTTGGGTCATTTGATGACATTAAACATTAGAATGTCTTAATGTTGCTCTCTTGAATCTACCTTAGAAGCTTTAGAAGTAAGTTGGTTTCCAGTGGATAGAGCTCCAGCCTTGGAGTCAGGAGGACCTGAGTACAAATCTAGCCTCAAATACTTGACACTTACTAGCTGTGTGACCCTGGGCAAGTCATTTAACCCCGATTGCCTCAGTGAGTTGGTTTCATTAGACTAAACCCCACAGGATTTAGCTTAAAATGGATTGGCATCTGAAGATAAAGTGATAACATGGTAGATGAGAGATTTATAGCATTAGACTTCCTGTCCTGCTGCCAAGCCAGGGTCAGAGCCTGAATTTAGACCCCACCTTTAGAGCATTTCCCAAATCTAGCTAACTTCTGGGATGTTTTGTGTGCCAGGTGAAAAGCTATTTACGTCGATAACATCAATTCATTGGTGGTCCACAAAAAAATAAAAAGATAAAAGTGTGTGTATAGCCTTTATGGAAATACATAAATTATATCTGTTGCCTATAGGCTCAAAACCAGTGTGTGTGTCTCCACTGACCTCTGATAATCATTTTTTAATTCTTCAGAGACTACAGGGTTCCATGCCTCATGTCTTAAAATAACTCCATACAAGAACACTGGTAGAATATTGGTATTTAAAAGATGTACTTTTATTTTTGGGAGAAACTTAGAGTTGTTAGAGTGACTTTGCAGTTTCCTTAAGGTAGAGGTAAGTGGTGAAGTATATGGTGCATGTGAGCAGGTTGCAACTATAAGCAATGAATAACTTCAAAGAATAACAGTAGGAAAAGATGTTATTGAGGTTAAAGATAACAGGAAGATGGGCCAGTTATATGGTTTAGTCAAGGAATAACAGATGGACAGACTGGATGCTACCCTGGATTTTGGATGTATCAGAGTTTCAGGAAGGTCTCTGACATTTTGAATGGGACTTCTATTGCAGATTATGGGAGGCTGTTGAAAAGAATTGCACAGAATTGACAGATATAGATGGTTCACAATATGCAGCTTTGGAGAAACATCCAATCCATGAGATCACTGATCCATTTGAGTATTTGTAAGTTAGACAAGATTCAAGTTAAAATTGTATTATTTTCTTCCATAATTTATTTTTCTCATACTCCTCCTCTACTCATCATCACTAACTTAGGTCCCTTATTATCCCCATATGCTAGTATAGAATAAAAGCCATCCAGAATCAATGAAAAGGTGGTGGTAAGTAAAGGGGAGTACCCTTGTGGTAGAAGTAAAGATCCCCAGAAAACAATACCGTTGGGCTGCAAGTGTGGGTCCTTGTGCATTGAAAGTGTAGGATATTTACTTTTCTAACCAAAACCATCCAAGAGCAGCTAGGTGTACTTGGAGTCGGGAGGGCCTGGGTTCAGATCCCAAGTCTGACACTTCCTAGTTATGTGAACTTAGACAATTCTCTTAACCTCTGTGAGCCTTAGTTTCCCCAACTGCAAAATGAAGATAATAATATTTGATATACCTATGTCACACATTTAAATGCCTTTAAGGTGCTACATAAATGTGAACTGTTATATAAAAAAAAGAAATACACACCTAAGTAGAGTATATCTTCATGGTAAATTCAGAACAAATCAGAGTTCCTGGAAAAAAACAAAAAATTTATATCTTCTGACACGTAGGTCAGTTCCCATGGTGATAGCTCTGCAGATTGAGATTTAACTATCTCAGATTTAACTTAGCTCTTACTGGAAGTGAATGCCACCTGCCACCTTGAGGTTTGCTTATTAGGTCTCAAGGTTTCATTCATTGCTGCAGCTATTCAGCTAGGAAGAGGGATAGAGAACCAAAAGACTTCACTTGTACGGAAGGGATTGTTACTGGGAGTTCAAAGACATAGACTTGTCTCCACAGAAAAGTCTTAAAAGGTTAAATCAGAACTTGAATTCAATGTAGCTTATCAAGGAGTACACATTGTTCTCAAAGACAGCAAAGCTTAACCTTTCTGTATAGAGCAGAGAGACATTGTGAGTTTGGAAGGGACAGTTGCTTCCTAATGCTGAAATGGCTAATTGGATTTCTCAAAAATATCCTATAGAAATGTGTATTTTTGACAATAGATAGAAGATGGGGACAGGGTGACAAGAGCAAGTATATTTTTGCTTAGCAGACTTCTTCTAAAGAAGTATTTGGGGAATTAGGTCTCTGATTCTATACTTGCCGTAAAGTTGTTGGTTATGAGCATTGTAGAAAAATAGTCTGCAGACTAAGGAAATGTATTTTGGGGAGGTCAAAGTGTACTTAAATGTTCTCAGAATTACATTTTTGGAATATTGGTAAATGTCCATGTTTATCCTAACCAGTGATTGCAAATTTTGATTAAGGAAAGAGTGACGTGATCTAATAAATTACTTTTAACCAGAAGCGATGGCCATGTTTAAAGAGGTTTTTCCTGAATCCCTAGTAGAATGTTATGTCCTCAACTTTCTCTTTGGATTAATGGTTTTACTTTGAGATTATCCTTACTGCTGTTACGTGACCTGTAACAATATGTGGGAGGGTACTGTTCAAAGTCTCAAAAAAGATTAATCAAGAGATAGAGCTGGGACTAGTTGTGTTGCAAGACCTGTGTCTCATTGTGTTCATGGAACCATTTATTTTATAGTTCATGATAATGCTAGAAGTGGAGGCTTGACCAATAACCACTTGATGGTAGCTGACCAATAACCACTTGATGGTAGCTGACCATCAACTACTTGATGTTTTAGGGCAGTAGCTCTCAGAATGATTGTCAGACTCTTGGAGGTCCCCAAGATCCTTTAAGGTCAAAACTATTTTCATAATAACATTACCAATACATTATTTGCCTATTAAAATATTCCTCCCTCTTCCAACTACACATCTGTGTGAGGTCAGATTTTCTTCATACACATCAACCAAAACATCTCACAGATCATTTATATGAGAATCCAGCTATCTTGTTAAGCTAGACATTAAAAAGATTTGTAAAAATTTGCAAAATAATGCCACTCTTCTCACTAAATTTTTTTTGTTTAGAAAAATATAATTATTTTTCATTAAAAAATTTATGTCAACATGTAATTATTTTAAATGAAGTAATAGCTAAATATTTAAAAATTTATTAGCTATAATTTCTAAAAAAGTTAAATACCAACAGATATAACCTAAATAGACAAAAGTTCTTTGGGATCCTCAGTTTTTAAGAATGTAAATGGGCCCTGATACCAAGAAGTTTGAGAACTGCTGGTCTAGGGCAAGTCATGTGAGTCCCTGATGATATTAGAAAGGAGGGGAAAAGAACATGGTAGGGAAGGTGTTTGGTGAAGACTGGAAACTTCCCATTTCCAGTGTTATGGAATAGCAGAGTGGTGTGCTTTACAGATTTTGGTAGTGCTTCATTCTCCCCATAACTATGGCCCCTTTGGGTCTCAAACCCACTGATTTGTCTGACTCTTCTTTTTTCCTGTAGCCGGAAGAGATTCAACAGCAGATTGTCCGGGAGACTTTCCACCTTGTCCTCAAGCGAGATGACAACATCTGTAATTTCCTAGAGGGGGGCAGGTAAGCCAGCAGCTTACTTTTTCTCCATTTACTTCAAGGTCTGGTCAGCTGATGGGTCCTGTGACTTCAGGCTGGTGTTCTTTAAGTGTCAGGCTGTATTCAGGATATACCTTGGCTTTAGCCTCGACAGAGATGTTCATGAAGAGGCCCTGTTTAATTTTTCCAGGGCTTATCTGTGCTTGTAAATTCAGTTTTCTTGTCTGGTGCCCTTTTTTCTCACTGTAAGGAGGGGTACATGTCACTTGCCTGATTTGAATGCAGGTCTGGTGAATTGTGCTGTGCGTTTTTAGGCAGTGTGGTATAGTGAAAATCACATTTACTCTAGCACAGCATTTCAGCTATCTCTGGGGGTTGTCTTTTGTTCCTGCAGTTTGATTGGCGGTTCTGACTACAAGTTGATTTACCGACACTATGCCACTTTGTATTTTGTGTTTTGTGTGGATTCTTCAGAAAGTGAACTGGGGATCTTGGACCTCATTCAGGTATGTCTGATGGACTTGTTGAGAAGCAGAATAGGTACTTAACTTCATGGGCCTTAATTTTCTTATTGGTAAACCAATGACTGATGGGCTTGATGGGCTAGATGGGCTAGATGGTCTCCTGAGCTCCCTCCTAGCTCTAGAGGTCTCATTCTGGGATCCTGGGGTGAGGTGATAGTAAAATGGCTCCAAGCTTTGGACAGTGGTGATTAATCTTGTAAGCTGCCTGCCCCACACTATCACTGCTCATCTCCTTTGTCCCTTTGTGCTTCTGGGGACTCTGTGGAAAGCTCCACAGATGGTTTCCCTTGGAGTCAGTGGTCTGGTGGGTCCTTTTACTGGTCTTAGGTTGGTACCTGAGACAGAATTATCAGATGACCAGCAGGTGGTGCTAGAATTAAGTCCTTCTGAACAACCCACTGGGTAAAATTTGGGAAGCAGGCAAACAAAAGTTTAGATTAAGGAACCGGTGATCAAATAGAGAGGAAACCCCTTGTTATTTGAAAACTTTTGGGCACCCTGTGAAAGGAAAAAGTATGCTACCTGAGCCTGTAAATAACGGGGCCATATTAAAATATGAAATTTTTCCCCGGAAACTTTTTGCATTCCCATGTTTAGTTAATACTGTATTAAAGGCCTGGTACATAAGATCATTTGCTGGAATTCCTTTGAGAGGAAGGGATAGGCTTAAGTTACAGTTGCCCCATTCCCCAACAAGTTTACATTCAAGAATACATGAACTTCTTCCAATTTGATGTAAATCTGTTTCTCTTCTTTCTCTAGGTTTTTGTGGAGACACTGGACAAGTGTTTTGAAAATGTGTGTGAGTTGGACTTGATCTTCCACATGGATAAGGTACATCCTGTCCCAGAACAAGGTTCCCAGTAAGTTAGGAACTCCAGGCTATTTCCACCCCTCTCTACCCATTCTTCTTTTGTCCATCTCCTACTTTAGGAATGCTCCCAGAGATGGCTTTAATATATTTAGTTTGTGTTTTATTTTTAAACTCTGTGTAGCCTCTACTCATCTGTGCAGAGAGAATTGGACATTCAGTGAACTCAGAATAATTGGATACTAGGGTGAGATTTAGGCAGATTATAAAGTGTTATTCTTTGCTTTGGCCAGAGACAAATTGAAGGTTACTATAACCACGGGGACTTTTTCTGTAGTTTTCAAAGTATGAATTTGTCATAGAGAATGTAGTTACTAAAATGACAGTGATATAATTCAAGGTTGTGCTGTATAAGAGAATAGACTGCTAAGATCAGGTTTTGAATGGGAAGAAGGTAGGAGTGGGCCAGAGAATTTGTTCTTAGATCCGTCTTACAACTACAACTGTGGGACGTGGTTTACCTATCCCTTCCCTGTTGCAAAGGCAGGCCACCTGATGTAATGAAATGTTTAAAGGTGGAACCTACAAGACAGTATGAAACTTTGAGCCTATATTATATTACCAGATCAAACACACATACATGTTGTTATCTCAACTGTGAGCTTGCTCTTTTGGAGATCTGCTTACATAAGACTACTCTTGTTTTGTCTTTGAGATAAGTTAGAGTTCACTAAAAGACTTTTCTTGTGATGAGATTAAATATTCCCAGGCAAATCATTGATAGTATTGTTTTTGGAGAAATTTTCTTCAATTCTGAATAAGTTCCTTTGTCTCAGCATTATTGCCCTGGATTTGTCATTAAACTCAGTGAAAAACTCTGTAGTGGAATTAAGTATTCTTAAGTGGCTTTGTTCTTGGACCCTATGAAATATATGATTCCTGTAGTTCCAGAAGACAGCCTAGAACATGTGCAGAAAAATCATGGCTTCTGCTCCCTTTTTCTTTGCTTTACTTTGGACTCTTGGACTGTCATACCAGCTTTCAGAGCCTTTATCGGGAAGCTTTTGAGCAGCCACTCTCTCCTTTCCTTATGGGAAAGGATCCTAAAAGTCTCAAAGGGCTATTAGTATAATATTTGCAGTCCTTTGTATTATATGCTGAATAAGCTAGTTGTTAAATCTTCTTTTCTCCTATCATATATCTAGCAGGGAGACCTAAAGTGAAAATTTGCTTTGCTGTCACATTACTGACAAAGCCAAGAATAGATGGTTTTGAGAATGTCACAGAACATAATGGTTCCTTCCCTCTGTGATTACTGGCCTTATTACTCTAGTATAATTTTTTGAACGTTTATAAAAATTCTCATAAAGTAATAAGGCAATTCAAATACTTTGGCATATTATAAGACTTGTCTTTGAAGAGAAGTAAATAGCCACAAACTAGCTGTTGTGGCTCTTCCTTACAGTGCTTATCTTCATGTAAGGCTCCATTAGGGATATTGTTGGTGTCACAAGTTCTTTTTACAACTTACTAGATGATTTACTATATTTTACTCATGTGTCATCAGAAAGGATTGTCATCCCTGAGACTGTTGAGCAACAAATAATGCAGAAAGTAAATCAGAAACCACAGCCCTCTCTGAGTGTCAGAAAGGCACCTCGCCTGAGATGGTTTTTGTCCAACTCATCTTTGATTTCATCTCTCTTTTTCTGAGACAGACTTAATCTCTTCAAATACAGAAGATAAAGGAAAAAAATAAGACTCTAGAAATGTCACCCTTGTTCTTGATTTAAGTATTTTATTGCTTTAAACTTAGAAACGGGGTAATGGCTCCATTCTCTCCATTCCGGTTTTTACTGGAATGCTATACTTCAGTCTCTGGAATAACCCTGGTTCTAAACTAGCTAGATATTTTATAAATGACCCCAACGTATGACCAAGTTTCCTCAACCAATCCAAACGTGATTGCTGGGCAACATCGTTGTCATTTCCATTACCAAGAAATTTTCTACTTAGTCTCAAGTCTTGTGTTTGCTTGAAATGAAAGCTTATGACTGAGATTGATTAATTGAGACTTGTTTTCTCCTTGTTAAAGTATTAAGGCATTTTATCACTTTAAGTGGAGTGGGCGCAATCAGTTCTACCCTTATACTCTCTCCCCAGTTTTGGTATGTGCTGTTCCCAGAAAATCTACTAGAGTATGTTTGGCAAAGCTTTTTTAGTGCTTGGGGCTGTTCTTCATTTCCTTTTTGAATGCCTTCCCCAGTGCCTCTGGAAAAATCTGCATAGTACAGTTCATAATCAGAGCTGGTAATTAACATTCCTCCCTACTTCCAAATACATTATAATACAGTTTAAAGTTATAATAGGTTGATTCTTGTAGCAACACTGGTTCATTGACTCCAGTGGGACCAGGTCCTCACCCTTTCTCTCCTATGGAGAGGCCTCTGTACTCTGAGCTAAGTCAATTACCAATGCTAAAACAGAACCAAAACTGGGTCTAAGAGGCCTCTCCCCACAGAGATTAGGGACCTGGGTTGACTAGAATTCTTCCCTGCAGAATTAGGTGAGAAACCAAACTGTTCTAGGTAAAACTCTTCCATGATTCTCTCAGCCCATAAGGATGTCTGACTGAGGTCAAGGCAAAATTTCTAGGTGTTCCTTTCTACACAGGACACACTAGATTTCTTCAGGGACCAGGAAAATTTCCTGAGTCCCTGTACCAAAGGACACCAAGTATTGTCATTTCTATTATACTGATCCGGCCTATCCATATTAGTAGCTTTCCATTTGCTTAGGTTCATCTTTATTTCTGTAGAAAAGTGTTTTATAGTTGTATTTATATAGTTCCTATATGTATCTTGGTAGGTGAACCGCTATATATTTATAGATTCTCTAGTTATTTAGAATGGAATTTCTCTTCCTATCTTTTTCTGCCAGATTTTATTAATAATACATAGAAATGTTGCTGATTTGAGGGGGTTTATTTTATATTCTACTATGTTGCCAATGTTATGTTTCAATTAATTTTTAGTTTATCTCCCTGGGGTTCTCTATATAAACTATGATATCTTCTGCAAAAGCTAGTAATTTTGTTTTTTCTTTGCCTATGCTTATTCCCTCAATTTCATTTTCTTATTGTTATAACTAGCATTTTAGCACTATGTCAGATAATAGTAGTGATACCAAACATTCTTGTTTTACTCCTGATCTTATGGGAAAGGTTTTTTAAATATTTTGATTTTGTTTGATTATTTCTTTTTCTTTTATGGAATCACTGAGTCCTCTATGCTGCTTTCTGGTTTTTAGAGTCTGTTATTTAGGTAGAATTTTCTACCTTCTATTGAAGTTATTTTTTTTTCCCTTATGATTCTGTCTACCAGAACTCTTAATTCACCTATAATTTCTCTTTTATCTCTTGCTTCATTTCTTCTATGTACTTTCATTGTCCTTGTGACCAAGCTGTTTTTTCTCTGAGGTTTAGATTATAGTTATTGTGGAATTATTCACTTCCTCTGGGTTTAAATCTTGAGCATATTTTAACCCATAATATTTCTTTATAATGTTCAGTATCTTCTCTTTAGTCATCTTTCCTGCCTCAGTTCCTTATTTGTGATTTAGTGCCAGTTAGACTTCTTCCTCTTCCCTTTCCACACTCTTAATTAAGTCACATTTGATCCTGACCCTCAATTTCTTGATCTCCTGCCACTAACTTCCACTTCCTCTTATATGTCTACATGCATAATACCGGCAAGATCCCCTGGATCCTTCAGGGTACGAGTTCTGCGGTCTACAGGGTCCTTAGGAACAAATCCAGTCAGAGGAGTACAGATGTCTGGTCTTTTTTCTACAAAGCACTGTGAGTTTTCATCAACTCAGCAACTTCCCCTTCCAAACGTTGCAAGTCCTCTCCTCCAGCACTGAAGGCTTCAGGGCCTCCCAGGAGTTTCTCTGGTCAGAACACTGGCAGGTTTCTGGCTTGCTTATCTTTGTGGAGGCTAGCTAGGACCCTTTTTCAAAAGCTCACAGGCTTCAGACCATTTGATTGATTGATTGATTGATTTTTAATTTTTAGTCCTGAGTTGTATGAAGAAATTTACTTTTTGTTTCTTTTTGGATTTCTTGATCATTATTTGATCTGATGTCCGTTTTGGTTCTTTGCCAGAGTATATGTGGGAAAACTGGGATCTTATATGACTTATTTTAAACAAAAGTCCCTGTTTTCAGGATACAAGTTTTCTAACGGGGATACAAATGATAAAATAGTTCTATACAGTAACCTGGCATGTAAAATTCTCCTTAATTTTCTTTAAACGGTTCCTAGGAAAGTATAGGGTAGAATTGGAGCACCAACTTTAGACAGTCTTCTCAAGGAGAAGGCTGCTATGAGAGGAAGCAGAAATAAAGCACTATGGCTATCAGACAGATCAATCGAGGGTTTTTTGAGGATGGAGGAGCATGAATGTTTTTGTCAACAGGGAAGCAGCCAGCAGACCGAGAGTTTGAAGAGTAAGACAGTGGGGATAAGGGGAGTTGAGGGGAATCTGTTGGAGAACATGGGATGAAATGGAATCACTTGTGCATGTAGAGGGGTTTGCCTTCGCAAGGAGAAGGGACACCTTCTTGTGTGAGACTGGAGTAACAGAGGAGATAATAGGGGAAGGCATTTAAATAATATGACATGAGGAGGGGAGAAGGAGCTCTCAGTGAATGGCTTCAGTTTTTCCAGTGAAATATGAGAAAGGTTCTCAGCTGAGAGGGTGGGGAAAAGGTTAGCCATGGAAGGTTTGAAGAGAGATGAAAAAGTCTAGGAAAACCACAGTGGTAAGTAGGATAGTAAATCAATTAGGGACATATAAAAGGATTGTGTAGCAGCAATGAGGGGGTTGAATTTATGTAGCATGAGAGAGAGTTAGTTTGGGACCAACTTCTGGAGGGCCTTAAGTGCCAAGAATTTGGATTTTCTTTATATTGTAGCAGTTAGGTATATCCTGTGAAGGATGTGGCCTCAGACTCCAGAATA